ATATTATACGTGCTGGCTTAAAATTACTTTTACGAGATTACGTGAATACGTAAGATATGCATTTAAGGATCAGTGCACTCACTTGAGTATAATCCGGAGTAGAAACATTCTGTGATAACGAAACGCGCTTTCTCTCGGATTCGGACTGATTTTGCAATTGCGCTTGCAACTGCAACTGTTGTTGCTTGTTCCTGTTTTGTTGGTCTTCGTTTAATACACTTGTGATGATACTTTTTAGTCTATCTTCAAAATTGGCGACTCTAGGAGGCTCTTGAATTCGATTCGATATGTCTGTATTGACTGTCTGCGGTTGTGTGGATGAAATAGAAGATGATGTAGAGAAGGTGAGAGAAGCCTGTGGCAGTCTAGTTCTGGAATTGCTATTAGCACTCTGTCTGTTTGGTATACGACCCGCTTCTATCTGCCTTCCCGTTTCTAAAATCTTTTGTGCTAATATTTCTGGATTATTTTCCTGTATCTTTCCTATATCCGGAACGTCGGGCCATTCTTGCGACCTCGAACGACCTTCCCTACCTTTACGCGCTGCTCCATTTTTAATACTTTGCTGCTGACTACCATGATGTAAATTTTGCGAATGTTTACTTCCAATCGCGTCCTTTTGCTGCTGAGCAATAGCAGCGGCTTGCTTCTCATTACTTGTCCTTTCTAATACGTTTAATTCGTGCTCTAACTTTGAAACCTATTGCATAAAAGAGAAGTTTAATGAAATTCAAAAGAAACAAATCTTTTTTGCGTTTCACGCATACATATACCAATGGTATGTATATCCAATATGAGAGAAAGAAGCAAAAAAAAAGTAACAAGAGGACGCAAAAGTAATACATATGTTATTGCACAAATTAAATCATTGATAATTGCTGGTAAGTAATAAAAATACATACCTGAGAATGTAATCGTTTACGTTGAGAAAGAGTGGCGGAAATTTCTTTCAACAAATAATCCTCGGTGAGCGGTTGATGTGGATTCGTTATGCCAATTGCATTTGCATGACCATTATATTTTTCCTGTAATTCTTGATGTCTAAGTGCCACTAGCCTGTTTTGCTCTGTTTCTATAGACGCCACTTGCGTTTGCAATTTGCTCGCTTTAGCCTGTAGCTGTTTATGTCTTAGAACTATTTCCTTGGCTTTCGCCAACAAATCGCCGGGTGACGTTGCATTGATACCTAATTCAGTCATTCTTGCTTTCAAGAGAGCTACGCTGTCATCTATCAACACTTTAATTTGTTTCTCTAATTGCGCCGCTCTCGACTGAAGTTTTGAGTTCTTTTCTCTTTCTTTCGCAATATCCGTATTGACGGATAACTTGTAAGTGGGCGTTCTCATCGATTCTAACATAAGCATAAATTGGTCCCTGTGGCAAAAATAGATTTTTATTCATAATATTAATCTTTAAAAATAGACGTGTGGTTTAAAGTTGTACGCAAGTTGGTAGATGAGATGCTCAGAACAGTCTCCCAAAAATTTTGATTTTATACACAAACATTTAATTTTATAGATATATTTTTCACTGATATATATATATATATATATATATATTACAATAGAAAATATTAAATTACTTTAGTTATACCTTCATGACATATAAGAATATAAAAATAGTGAACTTTACAGGTAATACTTTTTTATTTCCCTTCTTCAAAACAAAGTTCTAAAGAAAGTTCCATATTTGATATGCTGTGATCATCGCACCTATCTGTACTTAAAGGTTAACAATAAAGAGAAAAATAGAATCAAAGACTACATTTATACGGCATCCTTGATCGGGTTTAATAACATCCGTAATTATGAAACTGGCCAATCGCAGTCCCATTCTTGCGAGAAACAGCTATGATTAACCAATTTCATAACCACGGATGTTATTAAACCTGATTTAGCGTGTTGTGTGACAGAGATCAAATTGATAGAGAAGAATAGAGGGGGAAAAAAATAAAGATACATAAAATAATTACCTATACAAGTCCAGAAGTATTTGTAGAGCGTAAGGAGTAGCGGACGGAGCGGGTGGTATACTGAGTTCTTCATGCACTGAAGTGGAATGCGATTGCAATGAAAGCGACAATGAAGACAGTTGTTGGTCTACACAGCCAGGAGCAGGCGGAGGTTTTTTTCCAAGAGCTTGAGGTGACGTACTGAGTAAAGTTTGACTATGTAACAAATCTAGTCCAGATATATTGATTGCCTTTTTAGGCTTGGCTCTCTTAACGCCTCTTCCTCTCTGTCTACCTCTAGCTGGAGCTCTCGTAATGCCATTCGTAGTTTTTCGATTAAATTTCCTCCGTATTTTATTTGGCTGTCGACGACTTTTAATAGTGCTGTCATCTAAATCGGAGTCACTATTTGTCCCTTGCTGCTCTGAATGATTCGGACTGTCCAGTTGCCTTGAAAGATCTCTCTTGGCTCTGTCACCTCTTTCATTCCTATTAGAAATCTTACTACTATTGCTGGCAGTGTTGCTTATCACAGAATCAGAGTTTTCATCTAAGCCACCTTGTTTATTGTTTTTTAAGCGGTGGAAATAACGTTCTAATTTCGTTCGATCGATTACGTGCAAATAATATGACACCGGCTTACCAGTCCAAGAGACGGAACCTTTTAACGGTGACATCTCCGAAACATGCATTATCGTGCCAATATCTGACGGGATAAAAATTCCAAAATCAGAATTGTGAAGATTTATGGAAATATTCGTTAAAAGATAAATGTATTACCACTCAAATTTCTGTCCGTTATTCGGAAGTTCAGCGGACAAAATGATTTTGAGGACACTATACGCGCGCCGTCCCGTAAATCAGCGAAGCGTTCCTTCAATTGATGGTCAACCGTTGGACCAAATGCAAAATTATTAACAAACACTATAGTAGCTCCGGTTATACTTTCCCTATGTTCATCGGCTAAGAAGTCTCCTTTTACTAAACGATATTCTCCGCATCGTTTCCCATACCAATTTAACCATTTTCGAAAATTTATTTCCATGCTCTACAATAGTTTAACGTTTCAAATCAATAAGACATATCGTCTTTACTTACTTAAAAAAAAAAGAAATCTATAATCGTTAATCTATAATTATGTATATTTGTACCTGTGCATATTTTGATGGTACATCAGCTCTCTCTACGCCGATACAAATTTTACATAAAGTTGCAGCTGCCATCTGAAGAACCACTTGACCAACTCCAGAACCTAAGTCTACAAAAACATCGTCCTCTGTCACGTCAATTTGATCAATCATCTGGCACACAAGCTCGTAACTCGTTTCGCCATAGACCTCGGGTGAAAAAGGCTCGTACTGATTTAACTTGTCCGGTTCAACCACAGCTTGATTATAAGTTTGTTGAAGTATATGACGAAGTAATCCTCTACTAGGTCTCTTATTTAGTCTCTGGGATGGCAGGCTGGTGCCTTTCTCCTATAGAGACAGTTTTCAACAAACCATCAATATGTTTTTTATCGTTTAGAACTTGGGGGATAAATCAAAGGAAATAAAAGATATATATATATATATATATATATATACATACAATATACATATATATACATATATACATACAATGTATTACAAGAGAGCTAAACATACCAATTGTACTAAACTATCGATGGCCCTATTAAATCTATCGCACAAGCTTTTCATACTTTCGTAGTCTCTTGGATCGTAGTCACAGAGGATATTGTTTTCTAAAGGTAATTTCAGATCTGGCAAATCTTCGCATACCCATCGCATAGTTTCGATAACGTCCAATGCTCCATCGTGACGATCCTACACAAACACATACGTACATAAGATATTTGGCATCGATGTAGCACAGCTCAGTAGCGTGACACGAGAAGAGAAAATAAATGAGTACAGGTAATAGACAGACAGAACCGTCAGTCGTATGCAGTTTCTTTTTTTTTTTTTTTTCCTTTTTTTTTCTTTATCAATTTACTCACAGAGCCTGATCCGGAGGTAAGAGGCCACTGATACACGATCGGTTCCGCTCCTGCTGGCGAGTGCAAGCGCAACTCCATTTTTACTAGCGTGTCCTTTCCCTCGTTCCACTTGTGCTCGTAAGGAAGGCGAAGCCGAGAAAAGGAGACGTACGCGCGCACGCACGCACGCACGCACGCACGGTACGTACGCACGTACGCACGCACGCACGCACGTAAGGCGCTCTATCCGTCCCGCACGGGTCTGCGCCTTCTGCGGAGGTGACGTGATGTGACGCGCGCGCCGTCGGTCAGGATGGATGAGCGGCGGCGGCGGCGGCGGCGGCGACGACGACAACGACGACGACGACGGGACGACGATGACGGCGAGGCAGTGCTAACGTAACGTGGCGTGGTCAGTAGCAAACTGAGCTGTGCTCCGATCGATCACTCCCGTCGGGATCACTAGGACACGACCACCGCGTCGTAAACAGTAGATCCCCCCCGCACCGCAGCCACTTCCACGGACATGAAAACGTCCAGGTGCGAGCGCAACTCGCCACCAGAGGTGAACTTTGACGAACTTCCCACGAGGGTTATCCAGTAGATCCAGATCGTGCTCCGTCGAGCTCCGCGCGACGTGCATGCAGATTGACCGATTGACGAACTCCTACGGGAGGCTACGGCGCTGGTGAACGCGCGACAGGTCACCGTGAAACCACTGTACGCCACTAGGAACCACCGGATGTCGTCGGGAACGTGCGCTGCGGCGGTGAATCTACGGGAAAGCACACGCTAAAAAACACGGGCTACCCTCTGCACGAAACAACGTTCAGGGGTGGGGGTCGGGGGGGAGGGGGAGGGGATGACGACGATCAAAACATGGCGAACATGGCGTCATGCCTCTTCCATCTTGTTCCGTCAGCGCCGCAGTCCGTACATCCGGTCCGGATATTCCCAGTTCCTCTCACTCGCCTTTTGTCCCTCTACTTGTCTTCTTTTTTTTTTTTATCTTGAGTTATCGGAATCATCCTCTTTTCGAATATTCGTAGATACACCACGCTCTCTCCACGAGTGGAATCTTCCATTTTATCTCTTGTCAATTTCGCATTTAGTTATCGTTGTTATAAATAATCATGTTACGATTAGATTTGTTCGCGCGATTTTCATTTCTCGTCGAAAGAGCCATTCCGTTCAGAATTGAATTGGCACACTTCAAGCTTTACTCGTATAAAGTATTTCTTTTTTTCCGGTGCAAACTTTTGCTGTACGTAATATCTACATACATGTTGTATATATGTTTGTATGCACACCACAAATACCGCGATCCCTCTATTTTTTGGGAATCATCGAAACCGAACTACTATGAAGTTAGCTTGAGTTACTAGAAACGCGTGCAGCTAACTAGCGCGTAATCTAGTAAAAAAGCAAGCTTGTCCGATGAATTTGTCTGCTGATTGACTACGAGGTAGAGAATTTCTCGAAAATTCTCTCTTCTACAGCCAATAAAATTATAGACTGCGCTAGTTTGAATGCGCAGAAGCATAAAATTTTGATCTGGTGACACTGAGCTCCGTTATCGTCGATTATTACTAAATGACGTTTTCCCAACGTCGTGAGTCGTCCCAAAGCGTTTTGTAACATTTTTGAATTTTGTAATCTGTTGTAAACTGTAAATAAATATATTCTCTCTACATTTCTAGATTAAATAAATAACACAAACGTAGTCATGACGGAAGCATGGAGGTTGGATCATCGCGCGAGAAAGAGGATCAAAGAGGTGAAAAAGAAGGCTCGACCAGGTAAAGAAAATGGAACTTATAACCTACATTACGAAGTGGCACACCGATATCGGCTTTTTTCGTTTTCTGTTTCATGTATCTGTTATACGTAGCAAAAGTTAAATGCCTGAGCTTAATAAGATAGTAAAAAATCGTGTTCACCGACTTTGTACGATTATTTCCAAGAAGAGCAAGACAGAGCACTCCCCTGAGACCTTGAATGATGATGATGTAATTCAATTTCCCGATAATTCTTAATCCACTTATTCACCTTTAAAAACCTTTAAGCATCCATCAAATCAATTCGGGATCTATGTCTCGACTGTGATCTGCAGAAATACATTATATCTATTATTATAATTCCATACGATTTTATATACGAAATAATTTAAATCATGAACTGATATCACCAAAAACTCTCATGATATATACTTCTAATGATACTACATAATACTACTTGAATGTATATACTTTTAAGAGCTCGCTGATAAAGCCGCGTGGATCCAGCATGGCTATTGTAAAATTTTTCAAAAATTCTGGGATTTTCAAGACAATGCTGAACGAATCGATGAATCTAGTGTGACTACGGAAGAATTCGTAGAAAAATATGAAAAACCTTATAAGCCTGTGATAATACGAGGTGTTCAAAATGGCTGGAGAGCCCAACACAAATGGACTATAGAGGTTGGATCTTTTTTGTATGTGATATTTACCAGTTTGTTTTTTTTTTCTTTATAAGTAGATATAAGATTGATTATTTAAAAAGATGTACTTTTCAAATATTAGACAATTTTGTAATTTGATTTCAACAAACTCTAAATTTTATTAATGTACTCAATTGAAAGAAAAGTCATGTCTTTAATGCTTATACATTGTAAAAATAAGTTTTAATAATTCTGATTTTCTCATTTGATTCCAGAGATTAGCAAAGAAATATCGAAATCAAAAGTTTAAATGTGGAGAAGACAATGAAGGATATAGTGTAAAAATGAAGATGAAATATTACGTTCGATATATGTTTAATAATGAAGATGACTCTCCTTTATACATTTTTGATAGCTCGTTTGGTGAACATCCTAGACGAAAAAAATTGTTGGAAGATTATGTAATTCCTAAATATTTTCGGGATGATCTCTTTCATCATGCCGGCGAACATCGAAGACCACCATATCGTTGGTTTGTTATGGGGCCTGCAAGATCTGGTAAATATATTGGATATACGTTAAAATATCTTTCAGTACACGCGTGCGCTTACCTTGAGTTTTTTTATCTAATTGAAAAAATAATTATTGAGCTAATTAAAAAATATGTACATTTTGTTCTCAAAAAGATTTTGAGTTTATTAAAAAATTACTAACGTGGATGCTGTTTTAAAAACTGTAACAACGTCTAAGAACTTTGTGTTACATATGTCATATGTCAACGAGTTTGCCTCCTATATTAATAATGCAACAGTTAATATTGGGTTAGCGGAGAAGTTCCTTTACAAGTTGGTAAAAAAACTTGGCAACATATATTCTATTTTTAAGAAATCGGCAATTACATCATTTGATAGAGCAACGTTTCAGCTTTAAGAATCTGTATTTATAATTGCGATACGATGATTTTTAATGGAGCTACGAATAATAAAATCAGAATGTTCCTTTTTACTTAATCTGCGAGTATAACTCAGGAATAAAAAATCGTTGAAACATCTTTAAAAAACGATTTTGTAGGGAAAGCTTGAAGCTTTTACGATAGTCAAAAATTTGTTCAAAATTTTGTTGGGCACACTACAAATCTACAAAGTAAAAAAAAATTTTTTCATTTTTTTCAGTTTTCTATATATAAAAATTACAAAACTTACATAAATTCAAAAAATATAGTAACCATTTGAAAGTAGAGATTTCAAGCTTTAAAACGTTTTCTTTAAATTTAAATTTCGATCATTTTTAACGAAGATATTGATGGGGAAAGGTCTTTTTTTATCAACTTGTAAAAAAACTTTCCCTAACGCAATAATATATAAAACATTCTACAAAAAAAAAAAAATCACAACAGGCACAGGAATACACATAGATCCATTGGGTACCAGTGCATGGAACGCATTAATCTCTGGTCATAAACGCTGGTGTCTGTTTCCTACACATACTCCTCGCGAACTTCTAAAAGTAACTGCAGGCGAAGGTGGTAAACAAAGGGACGAAGCTATTACATGGTTTTCAATCGTCTATCCACGCACAAAGCTACCTACTTGGCCAAAAGATTGTCGTCCAATAGAAATTCTGCAAACTCCTGGTGAAACTGTTTTCATTCCCGGCGGATGGTGGCACATTGTATTAAATCTCGACGAAACTATAGCGGTCACGCAAAACTTCTGTTCGCGTACTAACTTTCCGGTAGTTTGGCATAAAACGGTAAGAACTCGACGAGTAAAGTAATTACATAATTATGTTACAATTAGGGAATATTATTAACGTAAGATTATTTATAAGAATATTTGGAGGCACGCACGCATAACAAATAAGTAGTATGCAAACTGTAATAATAAATTAATCACAGGTACGAGGAAGACCAAAATTATCGCGAAAATGGTTAAAAGTACTCAACGATAAAGAACCTGAATTGGCAACTTTAGCAGAAACTATAGATGTAAAAGAAGATACCGGTGTTGCCAGTGATTCCTCAAGTGGTTCCTCGAGTAGTTCATCGAGTAGTACCAGTAGTAGTCAATCTGAGGATAGTGAGGACGATAGCGGTCAAGAATCACTTACCGCGCATAAAAAGAAAAAGAGGTATACCGAAATGCTATAATCATCGTGTATTATTCCTTTCCCTCTCTTTTTTTTTTATACAATCGATTTATGTGACAATTATTATAATAATTAAGGTGTATGTATATATGTATATATATAATACTGTTTTAAAATTTTCAGAAGAAAATTGACTAATAATCAACCCTGACAATATCCAGTATTTGGAACCTACAGAGACCTCAGACTGTACAGTATTAACCAACAATTATTGTTTGTACTAAGAATAAATATTATAATTATTATTATTATCATATCTTTATGTTCATAACAAAATAAATATCAGATAACACATATAGCTTTTTTTCTATAGATATAATACTTTATCCAAGCCTTACGTTTAAGCATCTTATGACAATGCACATTATTCCTATTCCAGACTTTAACATTATGATTCGTCATTTTCTTAGACAACAAATCTACATATTGTCCTGCAGGTTTTTTTTTATAATTATCACATCTCCTAATACTTATTAAAATTATAATAAAGTCAAAATATATAAAAATATTTCGGAAGAGTATTCTCAACAATATTAAAAAATGAATGCAATAGCAAAGTATTAAAAAAGTACGAACTAATGGATCAAGTGCATTATCACTTAAACTAAACGAAAACTATATAATTGCAAATTAAATACAATTTGTAGTATAGGACACATATGTGTTAGCTTTTGAGTGAGTTGCTCCTGTGGAAGGTCCTTACGTCTCGTTTATAGTTCCATAATTTCACAGTTCCATCGCTTCGTATCGACATGATGACCATGCAAAGCACCAAAGTGGAGTAAACAACATAGAAGCAAATAATAACGAATTAAACATCCGTACACTAGACCAATACACTTGTTACAATTGTCATAAAACTGATTATTTATTTTTTTGATTCATTAGCTAGCAAGAGAATGATTATACATCGTTGACGTTGTTTATAGAAAAAATATGCTTGTTATTGGATATCTCGTGCATTTAAATTTGAATTCATAGTGTTGCAATTTTGAAAATTGTAGATGGACAATTAAATTATGCTAATATGATTAGCAGAATCATAATTGTGAAAATATAAATATAGACACAAAGTTCACAAAATGTAATTACATATATTTATTCGATTTCAAGCATTAATAATTAGTACTGTATGTATTATAGTGTTGCGTGAAATATATAGTAACATTCAACGAACGTTACACAGGATAACAAATAATGCAGTCATTTTTACGTATAAAACGCCGCATTATGTGTAACATATTTTAAATGTTCAACTATAAATAAGCATGCGCATTATCACAAAATATAAGATAAGCGCATACACAGTATCACACAGGCAAAAAGCAAATAAAGTTAAAGGGAAACTGTGGAGATAGACATAGATAATGAGGAATCGGGTATACGCCATAGCTTCACTTCCCCGGAGCTGAAATCAACATCCGAGACGTTATTTTACTCGGAATTATCATAATATATGGACTGCTGAACCGAAGTTATGCATATCTGATACACATAACATATGCCAATAGTCAATTTGCGAAAAACTATTGCATATCGTTGTATCGAATATTATTTTCGAGACAGATTTGATTATGAAAGCATTAAGGCGTTTGAATTCTCTTTACTTACTTGCTCGCTGTAAATATATGCTGCTGATTAGTCGCGATAGCATTGATAGCAGAAGCGTGTGCTCGCACTTCTCCAATAGGTGTACATTCCCCTAAATAATCCTTAGGAACTGACCATGCCTTCAATATACCACCGCGACATCCCGAAATCATTATGGAACCATTATTTATTGTACATAATCCCAAAATCCAATCTTTATGAGCGTTATTTAGGGATTGAACCAATTCCATTTTGCTTAGATCCCATCGTTTAATGCACATATCTCTAGAGCCTGAAGATCAATTAATGATAATAAATTATTTATTACATATTTATATATTACTCAGTAATGCGCAACAAATAACGCACCGGAAAACAATGTAGAGCCGATTGTTGTTAAGCATTGAACTCCATCATAATGTGGCGGCGCTAAACTAACGGACGGTCCGGATATATTAGGCTCGGCAAGAGATATCAGATGATCCTTACTACCCGCTATTACTTTACCATCCTCAGCAACAGCCAAACACATAACGGCCGCTGTGTGTGGCGTGCTCAATCTAGTGGTATACGTCAATTTACGAAGATCCCATATTCTAACTTTATCACTAGCTGCAGTATATAGCTCCTGCTCGTTTAAACTAAGTGCTAAATCATTAATTGTTGTTTCGCCCACAGGAACTTGAAGCATTCTAGATGGAGTCGACAGTGCGATAGGACCGGCCTGAGTTTGACCCGAAGAAAACAACGTTTTTATGCAGTTATTGCCACTTCTTAAATCCCAAATTTTAACGTATGCCGCGGATACGCTAAATAAAAGTTGATGAACAGCGGAATACTTTACAGCAACGACATTATTAGGATGTCCACTAAAACTTGAACTTTCAATTCCTGTTTCCAAATCCCATACTTTCACGGTGCGATCTGAAAAATTCAAAGTAACTCGTTTGTTATAGCGATTATATACCCGAGCAAATATTTTTCGATATTATTGACTTGCAATTCATATACAATATATACCTTTCGAGCCACTGAAAAGTAAATCCGACGTCACGCATATAGTAAGAACAGCTTTGCTGTGTCCTTCCGCAACATGAGAACATTGCAAAATGGCCCGTGGTTGAATCTGATGGAAAAATCATATCTAATACTTGGCTCCGGAAGAAATGGAAAAAGAGGCAGAAAGCTCGTTATCTGTTTGTGCTTACCTTACCCTGATACTGCGAAATAATTCCTTTCATTGGTTGTGGTTCAGACGCAATTAACTGTCTGCTCGCAGTTAGTCTGGAAAACACGTTTTCTTCGCGGCTATTGAACCGTCTGTATGTAGTAGGTGACCCAGGAGGTGAAGATATATCCGTATGCGCTACCTGCTCCCTAATATGTGTGTTACGTTAGCGTGTTAGTTAGCCGGCATTTGGCTAATAATCTCTCATGCCGACTTGAAAATCATATCAGACATGCATGCGTAGGAAAGGTAACGAAACGTTATTATATCAATCTAGTTTACGTATAGGAGTAGTGCGCAATTAAACACAAATATTAATTTCAGCCATCAAATGCAAATTTCGTACTTAGAAATATGTAAGTAAGGAACAGCCAAAAGGAGGTAACTTTCGTCAGTTATCGAATTTTCGCGTCTTACTTAAAATTTGGTCATTTATTCTTTATCCTACATACAAAAAATATATAATTTTTACGCCTATACATATTGAAGATACATGTTCTATTTATAAATTAATGTCTTTTCTTATTGCCATCATTAATAATATGTTAATATAAATTAATATAAGGAGTTAAATAGATATAGATAGAATCTATAACGTGTCAGCGATTCATTGCAAAACATATGTGTAGAAATATAATATATATTACTGAAAATATACATGTCTTACTTATTTGTAAATATCTAAATCTAGGTTTATTATTAAAAATACCATTTGCAAATAAAATACAGTTATTGTATAAAACTTATACTCCACATTACACACACACACACATATATATATACATATATATACATGTGTGTGTGTGTGTGTGTGTGTGTGTG